TCTTCGTGTTCAGTTGCAAATGAACTCAGATCAAATTGCAAATGAATGCTCTAAGTCTCTAGCAGATATTATGAAAAATCCCAGACAGGCACACAGTATTAACGGCATTATTTTAACCCTAAGCGCTATACGGCAGACATAGACAGCATTACGGCATACAAGTATTAACGGTTAATTTTTTTTTACCTAATTAGCCTAGCGCTCGAAGACACATATTTTGGCACAGACAATAGCATCGCGCGGACGGTTACTATTCTAAAATTCATTCTGGTGTTTCTGAAAGTCAGTCCCTGCTACACATTCATTTTCCAAAGGCCACGGGGAATCACTGAAAGCTGTGTGGATATGTCTGGCTATTTATCACCGGCGTTCACAAGCTGGGCCGAAAGTCAGCTGTTTCCTCCCAATAGAAAACGGAGGAAAAAAAACAAAATAAACAAAAAGAAAACGAGCGAGCGACGGCAGAGAGTTGCCATCTCGCGCCATTTTGATTAGCGACACAATCAGAATTGATCAGACGCTGAAAGACTAACGAATCATGCAGACCAATCATGATTTTAAGCAACTTGCGCACAACACGGGTGATAATGATCATTCGCCATATCTGACACTGTCTCTTCTCCCTAACGGTAGTGACTGAGGCATCAAGAAAACTATTTGTAAACTTATACATCGCATTAGTATCATCACAGGCATAGTTTATGTAGAAAATAACGTTGGTTGATCTTCAGGTGAAAATGATCACAGTCAAATGGTGTTTTGTGTGTGTATTGTATGAGGCGAAATCTGAAAGCTGGTTAAATTTACTACAAAACTGTCAACACTGAGGACTGTCATTTAAAATAATATTAATCAAAGTAATGTTTAAAAAATGTTTTATGGCTAACCTAATCTAAATCAAACTAACCATATTCTATGTTTGTCATTCTAAACTCACACTACATGATGGTGCACAAATGAATTAAATATTCTGCTCTATATTTACACACATAATATATACAGTATAAATGCATGAATATATATATAATATATATATATATATATATATATAATATATATATATATATATATATATATTCATATCCAGTATGAACCCATACTATTATACCTTTTTATAAATGTATGTACTCTCCCTCTCCTATGAAAAATACGAATATAATCTTTGTCCCATTTACACAGTCCACACATGAGGCGTGAGAAGACCAAGGGAGGAAACTTACGACTACAGACAGACGAAAAAATATATATTTATATTTATATATTTACACGAACACAAATCCGACAGCTACACCTTAAACAGAAAGGACTAGGGTTTAGTGGAATGGCTCAAATCCAGACGCTGTCGCCCGATCCATTGAGAGCTTTTTTTTCATCTTTCCCATTTTTCCCGCATTTCTCTTTTCGTCTCCGTCTCGGCGAATCCGCGGAGACGAAGAGGTTATAGAATAATTCTTTGAGCAAAATCGGCGGCGTAGTTTTTTTTTTTTTTAATTCACAGCAGCGCACGTCTGGATAAACACGCACAGAGATACTCGAATTATAGTGTGTAGTTCGACTGGTGATTCACAGCCACTGAGTGTCCCAACTAGCGGTTCGTCGGAGGGTGGATCACCAGTCGATCTGAATGAGTGATTTAACCGAGCTTTTTTTCCGAGCTTGAGGATGAGTGATTGGATGTAAGATGCGTGTGTGTGTGTGTGTGTGTGTGTGTGTGTGTGTGTGTGTGTGTGTGTGTGTGTGTGTGTGTGTGTGTGTGTTGTGTGTGTGTGGTGTGTGTGGTGTGTGTGTGTTTTTCTCCTTTTTCCACCTTTCGAATCATTAGAAAAAGAGTTCCTACGGTAACCCAGCGTCCGTTTAAGGCTCGGGCTCGGGGGTCTTGCTCAAGGGCGTCTCCCCCGAGAAGGACTCGCTCCTGCGGGGGGCGAAGAACTTCTCAATCTCCTCCAGCGTCTTGCCCCGCGTCTCCGGCAGGAAGATCCCGAGGCCGACGCCCGACAGGCTGAACACGGCGTACATCCAGAAGACGATGTAGGTCTTCAGGAGGTCCGTCAGCAGCGGGAACGTGAGGCCGATGATGAAGGCGAATAAGGAGTAGGCGGTGACAGCCACGCCGTTCCCGATGGTGCGGACGGCCAGGGGAATGAGCTCGCCGGACAGGAGCCAGGGGATGGGGCCGTAGCCGAGCTCGTTGAAGAACACGTAGATCAGCAGGGACGCCAGAGGGAGCCAGCCCAGACCCTGACGGAGGAGGAAGGGAAGCGAGGGGCGTGTCAGGACGTTGTAAAGGGGGAGATACTCAGGAGAGATAAGTTTTTTTATCTTATATAGCATGTGGATAAACATATCAAGAGATGGACTGATAGAGACATACACATACACGCAGATAGTGAGAGATAGTGAGAGAGACACACACAAGCCAGAAGGACTGAGAGAGAGAGGGACACAAAGAGATAGATAGAGAGAGACACACACAGATAGATAGTGATAGACAGAGACTCACACACACACACACACACAGGTAGATAGAGAGAGAGAGAGAGACACACACACAGGTAAATAGAGAGAGAGACACACACACACAAAGGTAGATAGAGAGACGAAACACACACATAGATAGAGAGAGACACACACAGATAGATAGATAGATAGATAGAGACACCACACACACACACAGATAGAGAGACACATACACACAATAGAGAGAGAGAGGAGAGAGAGAGAAAGAAAAAAAAACAGAGGCAGAGACAGAGAGCAAAACCAGAAACACAGACAAAACAAATGAAGACAAAAACAACCAAACAAGCAGAGAAAGAGCAACACCAAACACTCCGCGCCGTCAACAATACCTCAGAGGACTTCTCCATGTCGAGGTAGAAGAAGACGCCAATAGAGGTCATGCCCACACTTGACCCAATAGCGGAGATGATGAGCAAGGGCTTCCGGCCGGCGCGGTCAAGCAGAACGGCGCTGACGAGGGTCGACATGAACCTGTGGGGGTAGAAGGAGGTAGAGGAGGTGGAGGAGATGAATGTGGGGGTGGAAGGAGGTAGAGGAGGGGTGGGAGAATGCGCGTGGAGGCGGGTGGGTGAAGGAGGTGGAGGAGATGAATGTAATGGATGGTGGTGTGAGGGAGGGGTAGAAGTGGTGGAGGCGAATGTGGAGGTGGAGGAGATGAATGTGGGTAGGGGTAGGAGGTAGGAGGTGGAGGAGGAGGAGAGTAGAGGTGGTGGAGAGAGGAAGGTAGAGGTGGTGGAGGGATGAATGGAGGAGGTGGAAGAGGAAGAGGAGGTGGAGTGGTGGTGGAGGAGAGGAAATAGAGGTAGTGGTGGAGGTAGAAGAGGAGGAGACGAATGTGGAGGTAGAGGTGGATGAGTGGAGATGTGTGGAAGTGAGGAAGAGGTAGAGTGGAGAGGAGAAGAGGAATGTGGACGTAGAAGGGTGGAGGTGGTGGTGGAGAGGAAGAAGATGATGGAGGAAGAGGAGGAGTAGAGGAGGACGAGGAGGTAGAGAAGGTAGGAGGTAGTGAGGAGTGGTGGGAGGAGGAGGAGGAGGAGAGACGAATGTGGAAGTAGAAGTGGTGGCGGTGGCGAAAGTGGTAATGGAAATGGAGGAGGAAGGGAGAGAGAGGAAGGGCAATGAGACTCCTATTTGCTATGCTAATGAACTCGCTAAGAAATTCATTCATGCAATCAATCAATCAATAATGAACCATCTATCATACAACAATAAATATCCCTCGCACAGTATGAATCATCGAATCAATTCTTATCACGACATGTCACACATTTTTACCAATTAGAAAAAAAAATCCATAAAACTCCCTCTTTCTCCATCTAAAATTAAAAGAATCCCCCTTTTTCTAAAATCAAACCTCTTTAAAAATCAAAATCTAATCTTAAAATGACCCCTTTCTCTAAATTAACTCCTTAAAACCCTTTCTATGTCTAAATCAAACCTAACTCCCTTAAAATGTCCCCTTTCTATGTCTAAATCAAAAACTCCCTTAAAATTCTAAATTAAACCTCCTAAACTCCCTTAAAATTCCCATTGCGTGAAAACCTAACCCCCTTAAAATTCCCCCCTTCTATATTCTAAATCAAATATCACCCCTCCAAATTCCCCTTTTCTATGTCTAAACCAAACCCCACCCCCCAAAATCCCCCTTTTTCTGTATTTAAACCAAACCTCATCCCCTTTAAATTCCTCCTTTCCTAATCAAAATCCCCCTAAAACCCCCTTTCTATATCCTAAATCAAACCTAACTCCCTTAAAAAAAACCCCCCTCTATATCTAACAAAACCCCAAAAACCTTTCTAAATCTAAACCAAACCCCACCTCCTTTAATTCCCCCTTTCTATATCTAAACCAATTCCTAACTCCCCCCTTTATCTGAAAATCCCCCCTTTCTAAATCTAAACCAAATCCCAACCTCAAAATCCCCTTTTTTAAATTCAAACAACCTCACCCCCTAAAGATCTAAATCAATCTAACCCCCTTAAAATCCCCTTTCTTATCAAATTCAAATCTAACCCCCCAAAACTAATCAACCAAACTCCAACACCAAAATCCCCTCTTTCTATATCTAAATCAAACCTAACTCCCTTAAAATCCCCCTTTCTAAATCTAAATTCAACCTACCCCTTTAAAATTCCCCCTTCTATATAAACCAAACCTCACCCTTAAAAATCCCCCCTTTCTAAATCTAAACCAAATCCCAAATACCTAAACCAACCCCTTTAAAATCCCCCCCCTAAATTAAACCAAATCCCTTTAAATACCTAAACCAAACCTAAACCCCTTTAAAATCCCCCCTTTCTAAATCTAAACCAAACCCACACCCCCTTAAAATCCCCCCCCTTTCTAATCTAAACCAAACCTCACCTGACGAAACCAACAATAATGGTGGCAGTGTTGGGATCAATGTTGGTATTAGCCTGGTCGAAGATGTCCACGGTGTAGGCAGTGACAACAGCGAAGCCACTGAACTGACCACACATGAAGACCAGAAACACGATGACAACAGGTTTCCAATTTTGAGGCTTCCTGTAGAAGAGAGAGAAGAGGATAGGGGTTATTTATAAGGGGATAGAGGGGGGGGAGTGAGGAGGAAGGGGAGGGGTGGTACAGGGAAGGTGTATTCTGTCGGAGGGTATGTAGGCGTGGGTGTATAGGTTGTGGCATGGGCTTGAGTGGCTTTAGTAGATATAATTTTTTATTTTTTTTATTATTATTTTTTTTTAGAGTAAGAATGGGAGAGGTTACTGTGCATAAATATTAAATGCGTGCGTTTTTTTAAATTCCACAGACTAAAATTGCCCAAACAGTCACAGAACACACACACACACACACACACACACACACACACACACACACACACACACACAACACACACACCACACACACACACACACACACACACACACACCTCCCCTCCCACCCTCCTCCCCTTTTCGCCCCTCACCTCCTCCCCTATCCTACCCTCTCCCCCCACCCCCACTCCCCCTCCTCCCTCTCCCTTACTTGAAAAGGACGATCTGATCCCAAAATGGACAGCTCCGCCCTACCCCACTCCCCTCCCCTCTCCCCCTCCTTCCCCCTCCCCACTCCCCCCCTACCCCCCCTTCCCCCCACTCACTCCCCCCTCCGCCTCTCCCTTACTTGAAAAGGACGATCTGATCCCAAATGGACAGCTCCGCTCCCCGTCTCCCCTCCCCTCTCACCCTCCCCCTACCCACTCCCCCTTTCTCCCCTCCCCTCTCCCCCTTTCTCCCCTCTCCCACCCTCCTAACCCCACCACTCACCCTCCCTTTCCCCTCCCTTCCCTTCCCTCCCCCTCCCCAACCACGCCCTCTCCTCCGCCTTAAAAGGACGATCTGATCCCAAATGGACAGCTCCGCTCCCGCCGTCTCCCCTCCTCTCTCACCCTCCCTCCCACTCCCCCACCTTCCCTCCCACCTCCCTCTCCCCCACCCCCCACTCCCCCTCCTCCCTCTCTCTTACTTGAAAAGGACGATCTGATCCCAAATGGACAGCTCCGCCCCTACCCACTCCCCTCCCCTATCCCCCCTTACCCTCCCCCCTTCCCCCACCTCCTTCCCCCACCCTCCCTCTCTCCCTTCCACCCCCTCCCCCCTCTCCCTATCCCCCCCTTCCCACCCCCACTCCGCCTCTCCCTTACTTGAAAAGGACGATCTGATCCCAAATGGACAGCTCCGCCCCCGCCGTTTCCATGATGTTACTGTGGATGGCTTCGACCTCCGCCTTGATGTTGTGGGTCTCGCTCCGGAAGTACCTGTCGGGGCGAGAGAAGGGTGAGATGAGAGAGAAAGAGGGAGAAGGAGGAGGAGGAGGAGGAGGAGGAGGAGGAGGAGGAGGGGAGGAGGAGGAGAGAAGAGGAGATAGAAGGGTGAGAAGAGAGAGAAAGAGGGAGAGAGGAGGAGGAGGAGGAGGAGGAGGAGAGGAGAGGAGGAGAGAGGAGGAGGAGGAGGAGGAGGAGGAGGAGATAGAAGGGAGAAAAGAGAGAGAAAGAGAGAAGAAAGAGGAGGAGAAGAGGAGAGAAAGAGAAGCAGGACAGGAGGAGGAGGAGGAGATAGAAGGGAGAGAAAGAGAGTTGTGGGAGCAGAAAGAGGAGGAGAGGAGGAGATAGAAGGGAGAGATGAGAGATAAAGAGGGAGAAGGAAGAGGAGGAGGAGGAGGAGATAAGGCAGAGAGAGATAAAGAGAGGAGAAGAGGAGGAGGAGAGGAGGAGATAGAAGGGTGAGATGAGAGAGAAGAGGGAGAAGGAAGAGGAGGAGGAGGAGATAGAAGGGTGAGATGAGAGATAAAGAGGAGAATAGAGGAGGAGGAGATAGAAGGGAGAGAAAGAGAGTTGGGAGCAGAGAGAGGAGAGGAGGAAATAGAAGGGAGAGAAAGAGAGTTGTGGGAGCAGGAAGAGGAGGAGGAGGAGATAGAAGGGAGAGAAAGAGAGTTGTGGGAGCAGAAAGAGGAGAAGAGGAGATAGAAGGGAGAGAAAGAGGGATGTGAGAGCGAAAGAGAATGGATGGAGATAGGCTGAGATAAGAGGGAAAGGGCAGGAAGAGGAGGAGGAGGATAAGAAGGAGAGAGAGAGTGAATGGAGGGTGAGAGAGATAAGAAGAGTGAAAAGAAGTCCTGTCGGGAAGAGATAAAGGTGAGATGAGAGATAAAGAGAGACAAGGAAAGAGAGAAGGAATGGATAAATAGAAGATAGATAGAAGGATTGTGGGAGAGAAGGAGGGTGAATGAAGCTAGGGTGAGAGAGATAGAAAGAGTGAAAGGAATTTTCGCTTTGGGAGTACCTGTGAAGGCGAGATAAGGGTGAGATAAGAAATAAAGAAAAGAAGAGAAGGAAAGAATGATAAATAGAGATGAAGAGAATGTAAAAGAAAAATATAAAAGAAAAATACATTAAGAGGAAAAAGTACATCCACATACAGAAATTCATATAAAATTTATATATATATCATTACATATCTAACAAACTCAGTAAAGACTAAGAACCAAAATATATAAATAAATAAACAAATAAATAAATACATAAATAAACTCCCAACCTACCCCCACACCCCATACTAACCCCCCCCCCCCACCAACCCCAAAAAAAAAAAAAAAAAAAAAAAAAAAAAAAAAAAAAAAAAAAGGCTTACTCGAGGGACATGGTGGCCTTCTCCAGCTTCCCCTTCTTCGTCAGCCACTGCGGAGACTCCGGCAGGATCACCATCGAGATGAAGAGAGGGATTCCGGGCACGAGAGCGGAGGCAACAGCGAGCCAACGCCAGTCCATGGCCGAGCTGGAGGGAGAGGGAGAGAGGGAGTGAGAGGAGGTGAGAGGGAGAGAGGGAGGTGAGAGGAGGTGAGAGGTGATGAGGTGTGGAGGATGATGGGGGGTGATGGGTGTGAGAGGAGGTGAGAGGGAGAGAGGAGAGTGAGAGAGGGAGAGGAGAGATAGGGAGTGAGAGGAGGTGAGAGATGGGGGTGATGAGTGTGATAGGAGGTGAGAGAGGGAGAGGGAGCGAGGGAGAGAGAGGAGGTGAGAGGGAGAGAGAAGGAGTGAGAGGAGGTGAGAGATGGGGGTGATGGGTGTGAGAGGAGGTGAGAGGGAGAGAGGGAGTGAGAGGAAGTGAGAGGGTGATGAGGGGTTGATGGTGGTGGTGGTGGGGAGGATGGGGGAGCGGTGGGTGGTGAGAAGATGATGGTTAGTGGGGGCTGATGGGGGGGATGATGGGGGGGTGAGGTGAGGGGATGGGTTGATGGGGTGGGGTAATGGGGGTGATGGTTGTGAGAGATGGTGGTGTGGTGGTGGTGGTTGTTGAGGGTGATGGTGGTGAAGAGATGTTGGTGACTGGGGGTGACGGGGTGATGAGGGGGGTGGTGGTTGGGTGAGGAGGATGGGGTGATAGTGATGATGGTAAGAGATGGTGGTGGTGGGGAGGAGGGAGTGATGGTGAAGATGTTGGTGGTGGTGGTGATAATGGGGGATGATGCTGATGACTATTGAGAGATGGTGGTGTGATAGGCGTGCGTGTATTTATAAACACAATTCACACACGCAATAACTCAACGGAAAAGGCATATCAACGTTACATATTTCCTCTACAAAAAGCAAAATTAACCAAGAGAAAAAAATACTCCCTCATCCGCTAGACTACAAGTTGTGAAAAAACACCAAAAATAGCGAAAAAAAAGTCAATTTAAGAGAAAAAAGAATACTCCCTCATCCGCTAGACTACAATGTGAAAAAAATACCAAACATAGCGGAAAAAAAAGTCAAATTAAAGAGAAAAAATACTCCCTCATCAGCTAGACTACAAGTTGTGAAAAAACACCAAGCCATAGCGAAAAAAAGTCAAATTAAGAGAAAAAAAGAATACTCCCTCATCCTCTAACTACAAGTTGTGAAAAAACACCAAACATAGCGGGAAAAAAAGTCAAATTTAAGAGAAAAAAAATACTCCTTCATCCTCTAGACTACAAGTTTGAAAAAAAAAAAAACATAGCGAAAAAAGTCAAATTAAGGAGAAAAAATACTCCTTCATCCGCTAGACTACAAGTTGTGAAAAAAATACCAAACATAGCGAAAAAAAAGTCAAATTGAAATCACAGCTTTTCTCAGTATCAGGAAATGAAATTATTTGACTCCTTGGATGCAAGAATCTTTTTTCTTCTACTTTATTTATTAATTTATTTGAACTTCTATTTTATTTATTCATATATTTATTTGTGCGTTTGAACTGGACTGAACATGTGATCAATAAACATGCAGAGATGAATTCAAGGCTAGATCGAAATGCCACTTGTCTAATCCCGATTTCGAATTATTTCATATTATATATATATATATAATATATATATATATATCTATATATTATATACTATATATATATATATATATTATATATATATATATATATATATATATAAGTGTATATCTTATTTTATAAATGACTGTACAAACTATGTTAGATTATCATAAACAGTTCTATAACCAACATATATATATATCACATTACATTATATACGATAGTACTGTACATGTTACATCAAAATATTACAAAGAATCCTATAACTGGTCATAGATGTTATATCAAACTATTACAAACATTCCTATAACGTATATAGACATCATATTAAACCATTTACTGCCATCGATGTTATATTAAACTATCACAGACAATCCTAAAATCTAAATATACATTATATTAAACCATAAACGGCCATAGATTTTATATAAAGGCTATTACAAACAATCCTATAACCTATATAAACATCATGTCAAACCATAACCGACCATAGACGTTATATAAAACTATCACAAACAATCCCATAACGTATATATACATCATATTAAACCATAAACGACCATAAGTGTTAAACAAAACTCCTACATACAACCCTATAACCTATACATACACCATATCAAACCATAAACGACCATAGACGTTAAATCAGACTCCCACAAACAACCCTATAACCTATACATATATCATATAAAAAAATAAACGGCCGTAGATGTTATATTAAATTATTACAGACAACCCTATAACCTATACATACACCCATACAAACCATAAACGACCATAGACGTTAAACAAAACTCCCACAAACAACCCTATAACCTATATATACAGCATATAAAAAATAAACGGCCATAGATGTTATATTAAACTATTACAGACAACCCTATAACCTATACATACACCATAACAAACCATAAACGACCATAGACGTTATATCAGTCCCCTACAAACAACCCCTATAACCTATATATACAACATACTAAACCATAAACGACCATAGACGTTAAATTAAACTCCACAAACAACCCTATATACCTATACAAACATCATATAAACGGCCATAGATGTTATATCAAACTCCCACAATAACCCTATAACCTACACATACATCATAACAAACCATAAACGACCATAGACGTTAAATAAAACTCCCACAAACAACCCTATAACCTATATATACAACATACTCAACCATAAACGACCATAGACGTTATATCAATCCCCTACAAACAACCCTATAACCTATATATACAACCAAACCATAAACGACCATAAATGTTATACCAATATCCACATAACCCTATAAACCTACAAACACATACTCAACCATAAACGCCCATAGACGTTATACCAGTCCCCTACAAGCAGATCTTCGCCTTACCCGAAGCCGTAGCAGAGGAGAGAGCCAAGGGCGACAGCTGCTTCGGGAAAGGCGCCCATAAGACCCCGAATGCGAGGCTCAGCGATCTCCGTGGCGTAGACCTAGTGTGGGCGTGAGAAAAAGAGAGAGGGTGAGCTTTGGTGTGGGCGTGAAGAGAGAGAGAGAGAGAGGGTGAGCTTTGGTGTGGGCGTGAAGAAAGAGAGAGAGAGAGAGAGGTGAGGCAGAGAGAGAGAGAGAGAGAGAGGTGAGTGGGCTGAGGTGTGGGCGTGAGAAAGAAAGAGAGAGAGGGTGAGTTTGTGTGGGCGTGAGAAAGAGAGAGAGAGAGGGTGAGCTTTGGTGTGGGCGTGAGAAAGAGAGAGAGAGAGAGAGAGGGTGAGCTTTGGTGTGGGCGTGAGAAAAGAGAGAGAGAGAGAGGGGGTGAGCTTTGGTGTGGGCGTGAGAGAGAGAGAGAGAGAGGGTGGGCTTTGGTGTGGCGTGAGAGAGAGAGAGAGAGAGAGGGTGATTTGGGTGGGCGTGAGAAAGAGAGAGAGAGAGGGTGAGCTTTGGGCGTGAGAAAGAGAGAGAGAGAGAGTGAGAAAGAGAGAGAGAAAGGGTGAGCTTTGGGTGAGTTTTGGGCGGGCGAATGTTAGTTACTATTAACATTCATTGCAGCAAAGGACCCTTTAAGTTTTATACATTTTTTTCTGTAAATACTTAAAGCTATAACTACAAAATTCGGTAAATAGTATGAACAAATTAAGAAACAAGATGGGAAACATGATGCTGAAACCGTCACATGACACACACACAAAACACACACACACCGCACGCACACGCACACACACACACGCACACACACACACACACACACACACTAGCCTCCCCCCACCCACCCACCCATTCACACACACACACACACACATCCCCCTCCCTAACCCCCCCCAAAAAAAAAAGAAAAAAAAAATAAATAAAAAACTCCACTCCAACCCCCCCCCCCCTTAAAAGCACCAACCTGCGGTACGGGCGAGAATATCCCCAAGAAGATGCCGGTGATGAACCTTCCGACGTAGATCAGGGCGATGCTGTTGGCGAAGGCGACGAAGGACCACGACAGGAGGCAGGGGAGCGCCGTCATCACGAGGGTCGTCCGGGGTCCTATGGCGTCCATCACGAAGCCGCCCATCAGGGAGCCCAGGATGGAGGAGATGCTCGGGAGGGAGGCTGCGGGGGAGAGAGAGAGAGAGATGTGAGTGGGAGGGAGAGAGAGAGAGATAGGGAGGTGAGTGGGAGGGAGAGAGAGGAGAGAGGGAGGGGGGGAGAGAGAGAAGAGGGAGGTGAGTGGAGGAGAGAGAGAGAGGGGGGTGAGTGGGAGGGAGAGAGAAAGGGGGGAGGTGAGTGGGGTGGAGAGAAAGGGGGGTGAATGGAAGGGACAGAGAAGAGAAAGGGGGAGTGAATGGAGGGAAAGAGAGAGAGGGAGCCCAGGATGGAGAGGTGCTCGGGAGGGAGCCCTGCGGAGAGAGAGAGAGAGAGAGGGAGGTGAGTGGGAGAGGAGAGAGAGAGAGAGAGAGGGATGTGAGTGGGAGGGAGAGAGAAAGGGGGGCGGAGAGAGAGGAGGGAGAGAGAGAGAGAGATGAGTGGGAGGGAGAGAGAGTGAGGGAGCCCAAGATGGAGGAGATGCTCGGGAGGGAGGGCTGCGGAGAGAGAAGAGAGAGAGAGGGAGGTGAGAGAGAGAGAGAGAGAGGGATGTGAGTGGGAGGGAAGATAGAAAGGGGAGAGAGAGAGAGAGAGGGAGAATGAGTGAGAGAGAGAGAGAGAGAGAAGAGAGA